ACCACCCCCTAACATCACCAGCTCCCACCACCTCCATCTGCCACGGCCAGACCAGTCTCTTCCTCTCTGTCTCCCATTTTCAAGATATTTTTCATGCTGAAGTTTTGCCTTCCTTGAATGGTCTCCATTCACATCTCTCCTGCCCTTCCCCTTGGAAAAATAAATAGCCCTTCTATTCTGGGAGCTGCTGGGGAAGTCCTTGGTTGACGTCCAGCACAGTGTTTTCAAAATGTGAGCAGCAGACTCCACCTGCATCGAATCACCCACGAGCCTTGCTGAGATGTAAATGTCTGGGGCCTCCTTGGGACCCAGTGAGAAGAAATTCCACTGAGGGGGCCAGGGATCGCTGTCTAACAAGCTCCCCAGGTGATTCTGATAAAGCACAAACATCAACCATTTGTCTTGCGTCCTTGCTGAGTGCCAAAGTCCAGCTAGGGCTAGACCTGGAAAAGTCATCCTAAACTCCCTGTGTGTCTCCAGCAAGAGCACCCAGGAGATCTGGATTCTGGTCTTGACCCTCTGCTAATAAGCTGTGTTGCCTTAGGCAAGTCACTTCCCCTCTCTGGGCCTCAGTTTTCTCACCTGCAAATGGAAGGGCCAGGACTTAGGGGTCCCTGGGGCAATCACACTCTAACATGCTTGGAAATCCACTTGGAACAGGTTCCTTTGTAGGGCCAGCATGGTGGGAAAGGAAAATGGGGAGCTGTTGGGAGTGAGCTCAAATGTCCCAACACTGCCTAGGTAGACAGCTGATAATTGCTACTGATGTTCAGAGGGGCACAGAGGTCTCAGGTCAGATGGAGGTGGCCTGACCTAGTGGGAGACTGTGAGGAGCCAACACCAGTGTCTAGGCCATGGCAGAGTCAGGCCAGGGGCAGTCTGGGGCTCATCCCTGGGTTGAGGATCACAGACGGTGGGTGTAAATGTCAGGGCTCCAGCCCGGTAGACTGGCTCAGAGCCAGGTTCTAGGGCCCACAGGAACATTGGAGAGCAAAGGGGAACACCCAGGCATGGTGGGGAGGGGTAGAACTTGGGGGGCGGTTCTCAGCAGGGCATCTCCATCACACAGCTCCAGGGGGTGCCATCTTACATAATACAATGTGCATAGTACCCCCTGGAGTTGTGCCACATGGAGCTGTGCACCAGGGCCATCCCCAGGCAGACTGGTTCTTGAACTTAGGACAGCAGGTCAAGCTCCAGGCACTATTTTGACCCACTGAGGAGCTGCCAGCAGTTGCAAGGAACGCTTCTCCACCCATCCTGCCTGGGAACTGGAGGCCTGAGCTCAATCGTGGCTGCAACAGGCTGGGAATGGGGCAGGGTGGGCAGCAGCAGGCTCGGCAGGAACTTTCCTCAGATCTACCGTCTGCTCCCACTAATTATAGGCTGCCCAGCTCACTTTGCCCTCTGGGGCCAGACTGTCCAGCTCCTTCCCCGCTGACTCAGGAGCACTGCCAAGAGGAAGGATGGGCTCAGAGAAGTTTCCAGGACATTCAAAGGACTGGCCAACCAGGCCCAGGAGACTGGCATTGTTTTGCTAGAAGAAATGGTTGAGAGAGGATTTAGGAACCACTGAAATTTGGAAGGCCGTTGTCCAGAGCACAGATCCCAAAAGCAAATAGATTCCGTGCCCTGCAGCAAAGTAGTGTTTTCATCAGCTATCGATCAACTCTGACAGGGGTTACTACATATCCCCCTTTCATCAGCTATCAAACAACCCTGAGAGGGGTTACTACATATCCCCCTTTATGCCCACAGAAGAGGGATGTAAGAAGTCACAGGGCTAACAAGTGCCAGAGAGAGGCCCCCACCACCTCACAAGGGATGGAACCACCAGAAGTGGCCTGATCTGGATGCAGGACAAAGGGATTCAGCCACTAGAAGATCAGAGAGCAGTAGGTATCAGTGATAGGTGTTTTCAGAAACCAAGAGATTTTTCTATCTGATCTTCCAAAAGAGACAGTAGCTCCCCACTTTCCCAGACTCAGCTCTTCCAGAGAAGGTTCTGATTGAATGTAGAATGTGCCTCTCCTCTCTCCAGCTTTCCAATATGGAGGTCAGTCCGTCAGTCTGGGGAATCTCTGATTTCCCCAGAGCCCGAAGGGAAAGCTGTTGTTACCTCTCTTTTCAACCCTTTAGAAATATCCTGGATTCAGAGAGCGGCCAATCCCAACCTCTGTGTTCAGTGAGCTTCCCCCAGCCAAATGTCAAAGGGTCCCTCCCTGAATGACAGATGGCTACTCACTCAAGCTTTCAAATTCTCTTTATTAAAAATCTTTTTTTTTTCCTTTGTAAAAACAAACACTTGCGGTCAGTTATACAGATCAGGAAAAGTGACAATTTATAGGACGCTCAACGAATTCCAATACTTTACAAGTTCAAACTTAAATTAATTAGTGTTTTTCTATCTTTTTTTTTTGTAAGCTCAAAAACAAACTCTGGTCCAGGTCAAGTATAATCTAACAGATCACAGCCTCGGACTGTCCAAGAAAGGGAAATTCTGATACTAATGGCAGCTGCTCACACCAACATCAAGTTTACCAAATTCTTTGAGAATATTGTCTGGATATATTTTATTTCTGGGGTTTACGATGAAAAGAAGATTACATAGGTCTTCTGTTCTATTAACCCAAGGTATTAATTAATCTGTTGCTCAAGGTAGCAGCTACTCTTGAATAACTTTCGGGGGGAGACACTTTGAAATAGTTGACAAACACTTAAGAAAAGCTTTAAAAAATAAATCAATATTTTCCTGGTTGCCTTTAATATTGCAGTGTGTATGACACACGTAGGAATAAAAAGAGCAAATTATAGAGTGGGCAAAGGACCATGCCAATGGAATTGTATAAAAATAAATAAAAATAAATATAAATATATACACACTAATAATAGATTCTTAGATGATTTTTAAACTGAAGGTTCTGATTGAATGTAGAATGTGCCTCTCCTCTCTCCAGCTTTCCAATATGGAGGTCAGTCTGTCAGCAAGGGAGCCATTACATTACTCGGGAATGAGGCTATTTGAACAGCCACCCAGATCTCCATGGAAACGTTGCTGGGAGGGATGAGGTGGTGGGGTCAGCTTCTACTTTACTGGGAAAAAAAGACTGCCAGCCTCTTTGAAGATGCACAGTTCCAGCCTCTGACGGAGGGCTGCAGGCTTTTCCCAGCAAGCTTCGGCAAAGAGGCCAGAGAGCTGGCCCTAGACTTCCCTCCAGGGAGAAGACAGATATATAGGGCCAAAGGTTTTCTGAGAAATGGAGGAGGCTGGTTTCTAGAATGCCAGGTAGAACCCAGTGGAGGCAGCCAGGGGACCAGGTCTGGGCTGAGCCACCATCTTCAAATCCTACTCTGAGATACCGACCTTTCTGAGCCCCCCAGGTGGCCTGGTGCCAAGCTCAGGTCTCCTGTTCCTAGAACATCTCCTCACCACACCTGTCCAAGTCGGCCTGTTTCCTCCGGCGCCTTAACGCTTCTCTCTCACAGGTTCCCCACAGGTCTCTCCTTGCCAGGGACCATATGCTCCAAGGTTCACTCGCGATCGTTTCATTGTTGTCTACATCACTTTCCTTCCTGTGCCTCAGTTTCCTCACTGACAAGATGTCAGTGTCGAACTCAGTAATCTCTCTACTCTTCTGTCACGAGAGGACAGAATGTGCGGGATCCTCTCATCTACTGGGAAAAAAGAAAAATGCAAAATAAATAAAACAATCCCTTCCTAGTCCACCTGCCAGCGGTCAGGAATAGAAACAACAGGAACTGTCTTCCGGGGGCTGAGCCAAGGAGGCCGCCTCCAGGCGAGGAGCTCAGCTGTGGAGCTCAGCTCAGGCTCGACTACGATCTTCTTCAGGTCTTGTCTAGGGCTGTGGTGGGGCCGCATTTCACCCAGCACCTCTGTCCCAAACCCTTCCACCAGAATGTCAGGCTGGAGATCCCGCAGCCCGTCTGGGGCCTGAAGGCACTGCCCTCCAGTATCAGACGGCCCAATGGGAGTCAGGGCTCTGTTCTTCACAACTAGACATCAAAGTCTGAACATAGGGTCAACTCTGAGACGCCCTTGACCTTCTGCCTTCAGAAAGGACCCACCTATAAACACCCGAAATTCCTCGAGTGCTCTACAGTCCTTCATCCTTCTCTTCCTTTAGCTTCTCCCCTCACCGAGACACCATTTAAAACCACCCCACAGCGAGGCTGCTGGAGTCCAGAGTGCAGGCACCAAGGGTAAGTCAAGGACAGATGCCATTTCCTTGTTTTGGTGTCACTTGAGCTAATGCCACCCATGGCAGAGAGGCCCACTTTGACCTAAGCTCTTACCAGCTGCTGTTTTAGCTGGAGGGAGAGGGCGCTTCTGCTTCCCATTTTTAAGTCAAGTGAATCTATACCAAATTCGTTGTCCAGAATAGAATCAGCCCTGGCATCTCCCAAAATCACGTGGAGAGAAATAAGTTGGGGGGAACTTATCAGAGCTTCCAAAATGAAGGGCTCTATTCCTTTTTCATAAAATTCATTTAATTTTACTTTAAGGCATGAATCTAGTAGACATCAAGAATAACTAAAAGGGTAAAAGTCTTATTCATAAAATCAAGGGCTTTTCAAAAAGGTGGTCCAGCTGGAGGAACTCCCAGCTTCTGCCAACCAACCGTCTGAGGTGCCCCCTCCCCAGCACTGGGGGATCCCACTCAGCTCCCCACCCCGGCAGGATGCAGGGCAGAGAAACTGCTCCAGGTTCACTGAAGTGCTTCTTGACCCAGGAGCTTCCGTGAAATGTTTTCCTTGGATGACTCAGCCTGGCCTGACCTGTCCTATCCCATCAAGAATTTGAACACTGTGAAAATCCCTGAGAAGTTGGATTTTATGAAGAGGAAATGACCCTTGGCACAGAAGGAGGGAAAG